TCAGTGATAGTGATAATGATAGTGAGGATATGGACTTATATGGACTTTGAGGGGTTTGACAAAGAGGCCCTGCAAGCCTCTGTAGTGCATAGTGATACAATTGATACAAGTGATACAGGTGAGGGCCAATAATCTGCCCTCTGCCCCGTGTGCCCAGCCATCTTTTCTACTTATGTAAGTGTTAAAAAACCTAATATTGTTGATATTTCTCTTAATTATTAATTGTGTGTGCATACCATCATAAAATTAAGAAGTTATTTTTACTACAACGTAGGTATTGTGTCTGAAAAAGTGGAGTTTGGGGGTTGGCCCGGTCTCTATTTCAATTAATCCCATATGTTATGTTGTTCACTTTACTCGTTTCTCACTTTACGCGGGCCGCCGTGGGTTCAATTGACCGCGTAAAGTGAGGGTTCACTGTACACTGTTAGAAAGTTCAGTATGATACGCTACAAAATGCATGAAGAGAAACAGAATACAGTTCTTAGTTATACTGCTTTGTTGTCTGCAGCGCCACAAAAAGAGTTCACATTGAATGTTTTTAGCTTGAAAATGCTTTTTTCTTTATTTGTCTATCTTTTGTTATTGTACTGTAGCTGTGTTAGTTTTTTAATGCACGATATATATATATATACTGTGTATATATATATATATATATATATATATATATATATATATATATATATATATATATATATATATATATATATATATATATATATATATATATATATATATATATATATATATATATATATATATAGGTTCACACACACACACACACACACCGACTTACGACGGGGTTAGGGACCCAAATCCAGGTTGTAAGTCGGAATGGTCGTAAGGCCGACATAAATAAAAAAAAAATAAAAAAAAATAAATAAAAACCTAGAATGAAATACAGTACAGTAAAAGTAATAAATAATGAGGAATGGATACAGTGTGACTGAGCACTTACCTTTAATGTAGTCATCTGAATGCACACGGGGCCCCCATAGTTTTCAAATTATACATGGAGACTATATTAACTGGAAACGTTTCAGTATAGAAAATGCGCGTCATTTGAAAAAAAAAATTGGTCACGACTGCGGCGGTCGTATGTCCCGACGGTCGTAAGGTCAGAGCAGGTCGTAAGTGCGGATGGACGTAAGTTGAGTCAGTCGTAAGTCGGGGACTACCTGTACATATATATACATTTTTTTATTTATTGTGCCAGCATTAGATCAGTACAGTACCATAGTATACTGTAGCAATTCAGTACTATATGTTAGTTTTTATGTTTTGAATTGTACCATAGCAGGTCAGGTACAGTACAATATATCACAGAAACTGGGGCCACTGAGTACAGGCTATTGTATAGAAAGTGATGAGTTTAAAACGATAAAAACAAAATTAGAATAAGATTGAGGGGTTAGTAGAGTGACAAATTTCTAGACAGTATGATCGCATGAGTAATCATACTTTGCAGGAGCTCATTTGCAATCTTGAATTACTGCTTTGATATAGAAAAGGTTTACTTGAATAAATAAAGAGGAAGACTTGAAAATATTTAGTCTATTGAAAATAGAAGGTTATCTGAAGGACCAGAAAAAAATCTATGAATGCATGTTTGGCAAAGATAATAAGCAAGCAACATTTTAGTAAAAACCAAAAAAAAAAAAATATGAATAGAGCTGTAGAAACATATATAGTTTACTGAATGCAATAACCGAAATGTAATTTGCATGAGCAATTCTCATAAAACGTGTAGAGGAATGATCCAGAAATTGTTTTATGACCGAGTCTGAACTAAGCAATTCTTGTATTATTCCACCAATTTTGTGACATTAAAATCCAGGAAACCTTTAATCATCAGTTGTTTGGGTTAAATCATGTATAGTATATATTAGTTATTCCTTCCTGTTGAAACTAGAAACAGGCATCACCACTTAAGGTAGTGGCAATGAGTCATACCTTTAGATCAGCCTGTGTGCAACTTCTGCTGGCCATAGCCTCTAATTTTACAATCATACCTCAGCTTTAGTCAATTTTGTGATTTCCCTTTAGAAAGAGGAATGGTAAGCAAGTCATAAAATTCGGATTTTAGAATTAATCCTCCATTAGCAGTCGAGCAGATACAGTGCTCACCTTCTGTTCTTTTGTCCTATGAGCTTATGGTTTGATCTTGGGGCACTTCCAGTTGAGTGCAGTGCAGTGCCAGCCACATTGCTTTTTTGAATACTGAAGTTTTAGTAAACAGTGTGCAGCATACACTACTGTCCATAATGGGCAGTCATGTCTGTGTTGTCGCTCACTAACTCCCCATTTTTTTTTCATAACCTTACAATTGTTCTAAAAAAAAATGTATATTCAAAACCAACTAGATTTTGGGAAGAGTTGATTGTACAGGTATCCCCAAAACAAAATGGTTATTCAACAGCAAGAATAGAATACCATAGCAGTCACAATGTGTATGGTTCATGTAGCAGGTGAAATTATAACTAAAGGTCATGTTGCTTATTATTCCTTTACCTTTTCCTTCTAGGATGGGGTAAAAGAACATTGTAGCTTTTTTTCAGTGTGATGTTTCATTTTTAGGTGAAGACTGTTTTGGAGGTTGTTACTCAGTGCTTGCCTCCTATTCCAAGGGTCAGTTATTCTGTTTCTGGGTGCTCCCAGTTCACCCAGTTGTAAATGGATACCTAAGTTTACAACTTGGGGAAGTGATTGTGTGGCCAAGTGCAGTACTGGCCATGCTGCTTCCTTGTTTGCCAAAAGGTCAGTACACAGTGAGCTGCACACTGTCCCTCATGGCCAGTCGTGCCTATGGGAACCTCTTTCTCTTTCACTCAGTTGGTGGACATATAAGCCTCCACTCAACAGATGCACTTGCTGTCATTCAAACCTAATCCAACCAATATTGGTCCCTTTAAGGGTTCCCTTAATTATTTTTTCAGATCATAAGAGATTGCACAATAACCTCTCTCACATAATAAATGTAGATGCACATCTGTGTCTCAATGTTGAACATCAATCAGGTCCCCTGCCAGCATCCAAAATAGAATTATTGAATTCTATTTCAGATTCAGAGTACAGTATAGTTATTCCTCGCAAGATAGTCTGAGCTAATTACTGTGCCTTTGGGTTGCTGCCTCATGACACCGGGTTATGTTGGCCTCATGCACCAACTTGATGATAAATTCAAATTGAGTTGTTACCAAACTTTACGCATCATTTGTGTTATTTTTGTTCAATCCAGAATGTGACGTCTAGTTTTTATACCCGAGTATATATATATGTATATATATATATATGCCTTGCATTAACTTGCCAGGCCAATATCAAATAATTACTTAAACATATAATATTAGGAAGACATGTCACTAAGGGTCGGCAGAGGTGGCTGGGCTGGGTTGCTATGGTGAGGTTTGAGGGCGGCCACACATGACACAGCCAGCGTCTATGTAAATGGTACCAGTGACGACTATGTTAAACTTTGATTATGCCTTTCCTTAATAGTTTTAACTTCATATTTTCATTGGGACAGTACTTTATTAATATTTTAATGTGTTAGGTAGTAAATTTCAGTAGCTGTGTACCATTTATCATTAGTTAGATAGGGTTTTTCTTCATCATGAACCAATTTTGTGTTTTTAGGGTATGATATTCTGGTATTTCTGTCACTGAGGAACTGAACTTTATTTTATTTATGTATTTATTTATTTTTTAATATACAGTACAGTCATCCCTTGGTTATAGCGCACTTGGTTATCGCGATTTTCGTTATCACATCTCCATCAAAATCTGCACACCTGCTGTTATAGCGCATTTTTCAAGCCGAGAATTTGGTTATCACGCATTTGCCTCCAGGTGTATTGTTACCCCGTTGCTTCACCTACATCTATTGAGGATAAAATCTTTCACCTACGTACAAATTGACAATAACACATTTGCTGTAATCAGACATATCTAAGTTGCCTCGACAATTGCAACCCCAGTTACAATTTCAAATTCTGTGTCATTACTAAGGAATACCGTAACTAAGTCTCAGGTGCACTCTAAGATTGAGAGAAAACCGAGGACTCAGGCGTCCTGAAGTGATGAGGAAACAGACTCCTATGATGGGGGACTCAAATAAAGAAAGCATAGCTACATGTGTGTTTCTGATACTTACCATAACATTATCTATATCTTTAGTGGGTCTAAATGGTTGTAAAATGGGAAAATTGGGGTTGGGTCTTGGGTGCCTGGAACCAATTAGAATAAATCCCATAGGTTCTGAACTTTTGTTATTGCGTTTTTCGTTATCACATACTCGGCGCGGTCCCAATTAGGCGTGATAACCAAGGGATGACTGTATTCAAGATACGAAAATTCACTAAACAAATGTTTTTAATTTTTTAACATAACCTATTCATATATCGAGGGATACCATTATTAAAAGAAGAAAAAACAAATGCGCTTAGCTCTTAGTATAGAGACAACAAGACTACATCTGTGCCGAAATGGGAGGTGACTGGAACTGAAGTGTGATCTCGAATTCACGGTTTATAGCAAATGACAAGTGAGGTGCACATGGGCTGATCTGACATCACTATTCATTACATTTGACCTTAAAGAATGACTGCTGTTTCCTTGGCTTCGATTTAAGGGCTCTACATTCAGCAAAAGAAATTAGTAATTCAAGAATTAGCCCCACGTCATTATCTCGGAGTTTCCTCAGACTTGGTGGGGTAATCATATGTAAATTACTTAGGATAGACATAAAACCATAAAATTTTGTCACATTTCCATTGACACTTAACACCATCCTACATCTCTAGATTTTTCTACTTGTATATTTAGAGCATATAATATAAAATTCAGTGATCCTTGAATTAATGAATATATTTTATGTTGAAAGATGAAGTAATCTGAAAGTCCTCGACAAAAATACTTAAACTTCATTCAAGTTTTCCCTCTTAATATTAGTGTTTTTAATTATTCGTTAATTTAATTCTCTTTATTTCTTGGCATCATAGGTGAATATGCAGGAACACAAGGACTTGGTCTGTTAAGACTACACTCAACCTACCGTCATGATCTTAAGATATATGCAAGTGATGAAGGACGAGTTCAGATGACAGCTGCTGCATTCGCTAAGGGACTTCTAGCCTTGGAAGGTGAACTTACTCCAATTCTAGTACAAATGGTTAAAAGTGCCAATACAAATGGACTGTTGGACAATGATTGTGACTCCTACAAACATCAGAACATGTGAGTTGTGAGATTTTCTAACATACATGTTAATATGGTAATAGTAAAGCACAGTGAAACCTCATTAATTTGGATTAATTGGGGGGAAAGGTGATCCGGTTTATTGCAAATTTTAAAGCACAGTGGCCTACCACAAAGAAATAAATGGCCAATTAACAAATGTACTAAAATAATCCTACAATAATACCATAAATCCAAAGGGCTAATGTTCCTGAAGGTAGTGTAGAGGCAGTGAAAGTAGGTAGTGTGGGGGCAGTTGTTTTAACACTATCATATACTGTACTACAGTATTGTACTACAAATCACTTTGACACTAACTTTGAGTCACTATCTCAAAGATCTGCACCCAAACACTTACAGTTCTTCATCGGACTCACCAGATTGTAAAATATGTTTAGGAGGTTCAGGAAAAGGTGTTGTGATAGCAGTGAGATCTGACACAACACTAAGACTTGAACCACAATGGAAAGAAGAGGAAGGACCAGGAATTGGCACATTGCTCACCACTTGATCTGGATTTAGCAATATCTAGATCATCAACATTCAGATTAACGAGGTTTTACCGAAAAACCAAATTTTTTGAGATTTTTCATTTGCTAATTCATAATACTGTACAATTACTCCTCTTTATCGACGGGGGTTACGTTCTGTAAACGGCCGTCGATAAAGAAACCGTCGATACCGTGATGGTTACGTAATTTTTCTAACTATTATTAGCATATGTTGAATAAATGTACCTTTAAGCATTAATGCGTTTCCTTTACGCATAACCTTAAATAATAGTGTATAAATAATAATATAATAAGTGGACAAAAATACTAGCAAACTTACGATTTCATTTATTGAAGTGAACATCGGTCCTTACAGTAAACAAAACAGTGTACAGTACAGTAAAAGTCCAAAAATCCGGCTGCCCAAGGCAAATTGTTTACCATTTATTATTACAACACTTTACACTGAAACGCGGGTAGTTTCAACAAAAATATTGTATATTTCCATTCAAGTATTTATTCAAGTCAATTAGGAGGGAATATTATTGTAATACAACAGTTTTTTAACTAAACCATTCGAAAAGTGATTACGGTAACATCTTTTGAACGAAAGAAAGTGAGTCATTGTTTTCGTCACGATTTGATCCCACTTTCCACTTTAATACGTACGTCATTTCAACAAAAATATTACATTTCCGTGAATGTATTATATCAAGCACAGTATGAATAGAATATCATTGTAATATAACAGAATTTTAACCGAAAACTATTAAAAAAACGAGTAACATCTCAAGAACATCGGAAGCTTAGGTAAAGTCTTTTGTTTCCGTCATGTATTTTATCCTATTTTACATTGAAATACATCACGTTTCAGCAAAACTACTATTTATTTCCGAGAATATATTCATTCAGGCGCAGTTTAGGTAAAATATACGTGTGATGTAATAATTTTTTAACTGAAAACGATTCGAAAAACACGTACCCTCTAGCCCTGTTCAAGGAGAGGACTGGGAGAAGCTGTTTGGTGCCAAAATAAAAATCCGGCTAAATAATCCGTCGATAATCGAAACCGTCGATAAAAAATCCGTCGATAAAGAGGGAGTACTGTACCTGTATTTCAAACAAGATTTATCAGTTTAAAAGATTATGAATAATAAGTTTATATAAATTTGATTATATACAGTAAATGTTAGATGTACAAATGCCCAAAGATCCTTTAAAGCAGTGATTTTCAACCTTTTTCATCTCACGGCACAGTGAGCCAGGCACTAAAATGGTCGAGGCACACCATCAGTATTTAAGGATAGATTTGATCATTTAAAAGAAAATGAATGATAAGAATGTGTTCATAATTTAAAAAACTAATAATTTATTAATTTTATATTACCAAAAGTATATTGTTGATCATGTTTTTCAAAATAATTTGAAAGTTTTGTGCATATTTGTTATTACTACACATTGAAACAAGATGTCATTGAAAAAGATGCCATTCATGAAAAAATAATATGAAACTTTCAGATATAGATTGTATTCAAATACAAACACGAGTAAAAATAAAAGGCCTTTGCTTGCATAAAACTATCAGTGGGAAACCTGTGCTTGGTGTTGTTCCTTGTCCGAGGTTGACAGGCAGACCCTCAAGTCCTCCTCCAGTTGACATGTTTTCGTAAGAATTTCGTTAATCAAATTTTTGTCCGTTAACCGAAGTGAAGATTCTTATGGAAAGTAATTCGTTCATCGAAATTTCGTTAACCGAGGGACCACTGTATATATATTACAGGGAATTTGTATAACCAGTGATTTCATGAAATCTCTAAGCCTTTTAGTAAGTTATATGTAATTACTGTTAAGTTAGGTAAGTACATATAACTTACTAAAAGTCCCAGTTGTTTATAAGTTTTGTGTTATTTGCTGCACAAATAGTAAACCATGCACATAAAGTTATTTTTTTCAATTGAATATTTTCTGTAATAATGTTAATTTGCTCCAGGGTGAAAAACCGTCTTCATGAAGCTATGCAACAAGACCGTGTACTAACAAAAGAAGATATGGACAAGTTAAACCCGACACATTCCCGCTCAATATCAACAGCTCTTGAATTTATCCAGAACCCAGTACAGATGTGTGAACATGTTAATTCTCTCATTAAGAAACTAAATGAGCGAATTAAGATAAGAAAAGAAGACCAGAAAACAAAAGGTATGTCTTCTCTTTCACTTTTTAGCTAGTTTGACATTTAAATGATCATATTTAGTTAAAATTAAATTCAGTAATCATTTATTTTTATTCTTTTACTTCAATTATTTTCTTGCTTTAATGCAAGGTGGCTTGAATCTAGTGTACACACACACACACACACACACACACACACATCGGTCAGTGGTACTCCAAGGTAAAAGATCTTTGTGGTCTCAACTGTCAGTCTCCCACACTTCCTTTCATCTCACATTTACCTAGTGAGGAGGCAGCTGAGATAATTAATAACCATTTTGCTACCATATGTCATACCTTACCCAGTCTTGACCTCACTCTCCTCCCAGCTTACTTACCTTCCCCCTCCCAGTGTTCAACCATATGAAATAAGAACAAACTCCTGTCTTATACCATGTGAATAAAAACACCATATTTCAATCACTATTTTTTTTCAGAGTTGCCATTGTACCACGGTGAATCATGGGAACTAATGCAACGCCGTTGGGCAAAACTGGAAAAGGACTTCAGAACCAAAAACACGAAATTTGATATCTCCAAAATCCCAGATATATATGACTGCATTAAGTATGATTTGCAACACAATAATCATACACTGCAGTTTGAGCATGCTGAAGAATTATACAAATGTGCCAAATACCTAGCAGATGTTGTTATACCTCAGGTAGAATGTAATTTCATTGTCTTTCTTAAACTACTGAATTTCTTTTGGCAGATTTTCTACACAGGAGGATTACATTGCTGAGACGCCATACAAATTTCATTTATGCTGTACGGTACAACGAAGAAATTAATGTGCCTTGACTTGGGGGGAATAAATACAGGTTTCCCTTACTTATACGTACTGAGGGTTTGCATTCTTAAAAACTGGTATAAATGAAGGCTTTTTTTTTTCTCCAAGATATGATATACAGTATATAGTATGTACTTTTGTCAAACTACTTAATATCTTTTTACTATCATCAGCACATGAAATTGTAGATATGGCAGACAAGTTATAATTATTATAAAAATGAAGTCAAGAGTATCCTCCTGGTGCATTCTGTGTAGGTGCATATTCTAGCTTGGTATACAGTAAATGAAACTTGGATAGTAAAAGGTAACCACATGTTAATAGATCTAGTTACAAGGGTAACCTGGACCTGTAGAGCTGTATTGTTGCTAGTACCAGCAAAGCTGACTTGGCTATGATGGGAGAGAGTGGTGAGAACTGTATGTCTCCTCCTCCCCACCAGTTTATGTTAACATGCTTTGTGTAGAAGGGCTAGCCATATTTCAATTCAAGCTTGTACTCTGTTCTTAAGAAATGGCCAAATACTCTTGTGGGTGTAAATAAGGTTAACTGATAAGGATATCTTTTGCAGGAATAAGAGCCTAAAACTCTTTAAGCCTGGTAGTAGTCCAAACAGGCTCATATTTGTATCCATCATATCTACATGTTGTAACCAAGTGTCCAGGTTGCCATCGGGAAAATGTTATCGCCAATCCAATTTTACAGATGGGACTTCCAAGCACCCTCTTAGGTGACAAGACAGAGATCATTTGGAAGTCCTACATAAAATACCCTGTTTCCACTGTAAGAGTGGGTTGGCATGCAAGGATTGAGCATGGAAATCCTATCGATAATCAAGTCATAACATGGAGACTTATAACTCTTCCTCCTTACTTGGGTTCAGTCATGGAATTCAGGTGGACTATGGCTCTGTGCTGGAAATCCATTATGGCTGACAATAGTCAAGGAAAGATGTGGAAGTTACTGTTACACTTGGGCTCACTCAGCTCTTACCCATAAGTGGTAAACCTCCACCTCCCAGACCTCTCTTTAAGAGCTAGAATGGTGACAGGAGGGTTTTGATCATGTAAATTAGTGCCAGCTGTCAATAGCAAGGGTTTGCCTGGTTGTATCCAATAGATTTGATAGGTAAAAATACCTATCTCTTCATCCTGACTTGACTATATAGTGGGGTTTCCAGGAACAGTCCTTGATTTCTCTATGGTTGAAGAAGTTTGCATAGGATTGAAAAAATAATCAATATTATTTTAGGAGCTTGAAACAAAAAGAATAATAGTAAATTGGAATGCTTGTAAAATTTTTAAATTTGAGTATTTTCAGTAATTTACTGAGTAGGACTGAAGTACATCACAGGTTCACCACGGATTTTCCGGCATCCTTGGTTCCAAAGCCTTGCCGGGTTATCCCCTTTGCCGGACCAACCGAGGTCACATAATAATAATTCAACAATACACCTCTGACCCACTAGTTATACACCTTCTGTGTCTTTAAAGCACCATGGACTGCTAGAAGCTTAAATATTAAATGTAAATTAAATGTGAATTAAATGATTAATTGAAATACATTAGTATAAATGATACAAGTTTATTAGTATCAATGAAACAGGATTATTAATTATCTTGTTTACCCTTGACACCATCACTGACACTTGCATCTTTCTTAGAAGCCATACCTAGGGTTAAGTTTAAGCAAAATAAGATAAGAATCGCTATAAATCGGGGGATCACCACCAACAACTGCAGTGTAAACAACAAGTCTGGCAGTCGTGGGAATTTCAAGTGCCGTCTAGTAATTTTGTCCAGACTAAACGAGGTGCCGGACCATCAGTTTCCGGAAAATCGGTGGTGTACCTGTACTGTATATGCTTATTATGAAAGAAAATCATCAATTTGTTAATTTAAACCTAATGCCAGTCTCCTCTTGATGATTTTGTGACAGCTTGGCCCAGTTTCCTTTTTATTAATTAAATTGAAACATTTAAAAAACACTTTTTGATTAGTACTTTAAAAATATTTTTACCTCAAATTTACACATTTGCTGACAGGAATATGGCATGACACCACAAGAAAAAATGGCCATTGGTCAGGGCATCTGTACACCATTGCTGAAGAAGATTCGTGCCGACCTCCAACGGAATATTGGGGAGGAAAGTGAAGAGAATGCAGGAGAAAGTATAAACAGACTAAACCCAATGTGAGCAATTTCTTTATTTCTTGTATTGTTGTATTTCATAAATAATTACCATTGGTTATTCTTCCAACAAAAAAATGGCAGAATTTTAAAACACCTTGAATGATCAAGGGGTTGATCCAAGTTGTTTATGGGAGAACACTTTGGTAACATCAGTCTTTTTCTGAAAAATATATATTTTTTTTGTCAAAGTACAGTGGACTCTCCACTAATGAGCAAACACGCTTTGGTCTGCGCATTAGCTGATCGACTCGTCCGCCAATAGTCAGTTCTATGTTTACCTTTGTTTCCAGTGGACTAAACATCGAGAAAGTTGTGCTCTTGACATTTTTTGCATTTTTACATTAAAATTACTGATCATTCTGAAAGTTAGTTAACATATTGATAATGTACAGTGCAGTGTTGGTTTAAATAAAAAAATCTGGACCTGGATTTTGGAAGATTCGGACAAAAAATTTGAGGGTTCTGGGCTAAGAAGCATTCCCAAAACAGGGTGAAGGTAGTTTAAGGCTTAAAGTTTTTATCTTATAAAATGTCACAGACTAAAATTAACAGATTATAACTTAAATAGCTGGAATCCTTGGAAGGTAACTAATAATTTGAGTATAGACAACATATAGTTTGCACAAGAGATAAAAATTTTAGTCCTGAAGTGAAGTACATTTAAGTGCAAGTTTTTCAACTTGTATTTTTGGGTAGATATATGAAACTTTCTTCATTTATTTTTACTCATTTACATGCACACACCATCCTAAATACTTATTGTTAATTCTATTACCGGTATACAGTACTTTGTATGTACTTTTCAATTCAGTTTAAGGGAATTCTGTGAATTGGAACCAATTACCCAATATTCCATTGAAATAATAGATTCAGTTAACGAGTCACTCTGTGGAACCAATTGTGCTCGTTAATGCAGGGACGGACCACTGTATTAACCTACAGTCCACGTCAGAGTTAAGTACTGTATACATCCTCAAACACTAAACTATCTTTAATTTAGTGCTGGTTTCAACATTCATCTTCTGTTACATTAGTTTCTCTTTTCTTTTTTTCATTGTTTTCTGTGTCTGACTTTTGATCTTTACAGTGTAGTTATTGTATGAACTTGGTGATGCCCCTTGCATTTAGTTCATGGAATATTTTAAGCATTTGTTTATTGATTCAGATACGGCAATATCCTTCTTGACAAGTTACCAGTTAATGAGAATTTAGTTTAATGACATTGTTGTTTTAGGGTATGAAAATCAATTAATGAATTTTTATTCAACGTAATGTAAAAATGTTGAAGAGAAAGCCTGCTCATGGTTCTTACATAGATCCTCAGCAGGGTGTAGACTTGTTTCCAGTTATAGCAAATATAACTTTGAAAATTAACAGTAACAGTTTTTATTGTATTTTTTTTTATTTTTCATGACTACAAGGTGTAAATTTTTTATTTTAATTAAGACAACAGAATTATTCTCTGTAGTTAGCAATCAGAGTTTTTTTTTCAAAGAGTGGGAAATTTAAGGGTACAACTTAAAGGGACAACAAGAGAACCTCACCTAGTACCCACCGAGTGTAGGTAGCATAATACAAGAGAACCTCACCTAGTACCCACCGAGTGTAGGTAGCATAATAGAAGTACAGTAACATCTTGTATTTCGCGACTAATATAGACTGAAAAAATTGTTACGAACTCAAATTCGCCAAATGCAAATACATAAACTAATGGGAAAAATGACAATATAGACTGACCACGCCACATCAACCTCTGATTTTCCCATTTATAACTTCCAAATGATACAAATTCTGCCTTTGTTGACTTGATTGTGCTTTCCGGAAACTCGTTTTTAGGCCTTCTTCAAGTAACTTAATCACACGCTGCTTATCCTGCATCGAGTACTTGGCAAACCTAACTTCCTTATGATAGTCCCGCTTCTCCTTTTCCTTATTTGGCCGCTTAGGTGAGTCTGTCCTACCCCCACCAGCACCAGTAGGACCCCAGTAGAGGTGGGGTCCTCGATAGGTGGTAGCACCACCCAAAAAAGCACACAATAACAGCCCGGGCGGTCGCTAGGATGGCGCAAGCTACAGCGCTATAGTTGCTTTCTTGTAAACCTCTTTTACGTTCACCACCAGCAATTCGATCACCAGAGGAGTGAGTAACAGGAGAAGGAGATAGTTTCATAACTCGATATGCCCTATCTCTCTCCCTACATGGAAGAAAACAGGAGAAGATTTAAATATAGTAAGCAAAAAAAATAATATTCCACAATTTTATTGAAAATTTCCTAATAAAGAAAAGAGAATGTCAATATACAATATACCTGTAGCATAGCATAGTTACTTTTGTGATACCAATGCTTGCCTAACCTCCTCCCTCTACTATATGTAAGGGAAAGCCTTTAAATTCCCAATGCCCCATTTTTAGAACTTTAATTACCATTGTTATTTAGATTATTCCTGAGCACTATTGTCAAGTTCTCCTGGGTCATAGACTGATTGCTTACTGATGGGAAAATATTTGAGTTGTCTATATACTAGACATGCTTGGCCATAAAATGGGTTTTTAGGAGTAATTTTTCAAATTGTTTGTTAGTAATTGTTCCTTTGATGTTATTGATATTTTACTCCTGTGTGTCAGGGTATATTACAGTCTTGAAGATAAATATTTGCTATACTGTCAATTTTCTGTTTTAGAAGTTAATACTATTATAACTTTATTTTCACTCCAGCTATTCTCACGGAGTGAGCAGTCCTAGTCGGCATGTGCGCACAAGATTGTACTTCACCAGTGAAAGCCACATTCACTCACTCCTCACCGTTCTGCGTTTTGGTGGACTTATAGACGTGAGATATAACTTTATTATTGTGTAAATTCACTAATTATATATACAGTATATATACTGCTGTTTAGAAAATTCATGTATTTTGTATGAACTATCTAGAAATTTGTAACAGAGCTAAGTTGTACTTTCACCTCATATTTAGCACTTGGGGATAAATAAGGCAATGGTACACCCACTAAAAAATTTAAATTATTCGGCACCCGTGTCATATTGTATCACGCCATAAGGGTGCCGAATAATTTTTTAGTGGGTGTACACCTGAATTATTGGTATCGGAAGATGCTGTATATTCCAGCCCTTAGGTTTTTGGGGGTTACAAAGGTTATTTTAATTATGTTGGGAATCCATTTGTCTTGTTCAAAGGGGAGTTGGTAGTGGTGCCACAATTTAACTGTGCAGGATAATGATGATACTGAAAGTTTATTCATACTAAATGACATGATGAAAGTTAAAGAATAATGAAATAAGATAGTGAAATAAGTAATCATAGTATATTGAGAGAAAAAAGGCATTCGTTTGAACATATTTATATTGTTACTTAGGGAAAAAATTACAAAATTAGTAAAAACTAATAGTATTGGAGTTTTCATTCATAAATCAAATCATGGGACATTTTTTTCCTAACACTTGAATTTTTGTAAACCAAGACTTTGTAAATTGACATGAAGGTAACCCTAATGATGAAGAGGGCTTAAAAGGTTTTCTCCAGAACATTGATGCTTCAATCTTTTTTCTTGTTAACATTGGCCATAAAAACCTGAAGGCCTCAGCACAATATTTATGTATTATGTGTCTCTTCTTACAGTGATTTTGAATCCCTTACTTAGGTTGTGCACTGTGTCATGTAGTCTCACTGTTAGTTTTGAAGTTCATGGTCGGTTAAGGGATTTGTTTTTCTTGTAAGTATCATTAACACCTTACCAATGGAGACATATATATTTCACAAATACAGCACTCATTAGTTTTATTTAAATCATGTTGTTCCAGCTATGTTATGTACAGTATATTTGAAAATCACTATTGATGCATATGCATTAAAATACAGGATTATCATTGTTACGGTAGGTAACATATGTTGCAGGTGTTATTGTAGTTCTGTAGTCGTGAAAGTAATACACCCTGTATAGTAATTTGTATAATTTAGGATGCAGTAGTGTGTCCTTTAAATTAATTTTTGGACCAAGAAGTTCTTTGTGTTATGCAGTAAATCCTCTCAATAAGGGACATCTTTCTGTTCAATTTAATTATTGATCTCAGCCAGTAATATCTACTAATGGGAACATTGTTTACTATTGATTACATGGTGTATGTTAGAACTTACTAGACCCAATAAGCCATTTGATGGCATTCTCGTGCTATCCCTATTATTCTAACATCACTCAGTAAGCATTCTAACTAGGTGTACTGCCCTTAAAACATCTCAGAACAAACACAAAGGTCATGGAACTGAGTACAGTAGTGCAGAAAGAAAACGTAAAGTGATTAATATCAAACAAAATGTTCAAAATATCCAAAACTCCATTTTGGAAATTCTGTGACCAATATACTGTAGTGTCAGAACCACAAAGGAGTCCCTTCCGTTAAGGGGAATCTTCCCAATTAGGAACAGGGCTTTCACAAATTAGTCTGGTCCTAAGAGGGTTTACTGTACAGGGGGTCCCTGGGTTACGAACTTCCGACTTACGAACACCCGCCAATCCGAATGAGGTCCCATAGGTACAACTGGTTCATATTATTAACGTACGAGAACTAGTTTACGTGGCATAGCAGCAAGGCAGAGTGGCGGATGGGAAGAATGCATCACCCGGTTATTGCCTTGAGGGAGCATCAGTACGCCTTACCCTCACCTCAGTAACATGTGTGATCAAGTGCAAATTGATGTTTTTTGCTTATTAACTATTTTTTTGCCCTCATCGTGGCTTCCAAATGCAAACTTGATGCAGGTGATTGTAGTGCATCCAAGTGCATAAAGGAAAACAATTACAATGGAAGTGAAAGTTGATGTGATCAAACATTCTGAAAAAGGTGAAACTCCCTCAGCCATTGTTAAAGCGTCGAGCTTCAGTCGGTCAACGATTGGAACAATTTTGAAATTCTTGAACATGTAAAAGGTTCTACACCAATGCACTTAACTGTGATAACAGAACAAAGAACTGGATTAATAATTGAAATGGAAAGATTGTTAATGATATGGGTGGAAAATCAAAATCAACGGCACTTGCCTTTAAGTCTAGCCTTGATTCAGGAAAAAGTGAGAGGCTTGCATGCTGACTTGAAGGCTGCACAAGGTGGTGTAAGTGATGGGGAAGATTTTGTCGCTAGTAGGGGCTGATTTAACCAGTTCAAGGTAAGGGCAAATTTACATAACATTAAAGGACAAGGTGATTCTTGATGTATAAAAGGACTTAGGCTATGATATAGTGCACATAGGGTATGTGTTCTGACTTACATACATTTTCAACTTACGAACATCTTCAGTTACGGAACTCGTTCCTAACCCAGGGACCCCCTGTATACTGATACAATATATTGTATATGAACTCCTTGGCCACAAATGAGACATCATGCCACAATCCTCCATTTCTGTACCTCATAATTTTAATATTTTGAATTACTACTTCGCAAATTATTTTTAATATATGTACTGTATATATATTTACAGAATCCAAAAGATGAACAATGGAATAGAGCGATGGACTATATTGGTGCTGTATCGGAGCTTAATTATCTTAGTCAGATCGTGATAATGTTGTATGAGGACCCCACCAAAGATCCATCTTCAGACAGCAGGTCAGTCACATTAAAGTTGTAATATACAGTAATCTTGCCATTAGCTGGAAACCCCAGGAAAACTCTCCATTCTAGGTCTGCGAACAAATTTCCAAGGGTGAAATCAGGAGCATTTTCCGGAAAGAATTCTAAGAAGATTCCGAGAAAATCTTTCCAAACCTCTCTGTTCTGGGCCTGGGAATAAATTTTCCTTAAGTTCTGAATGATTACTTCATGCTCCAACGCATCCCCACGTGCAGGGTAAATGGATGGCCTTGCTGCTTGGATTGCTTAGTTGATATTCTGCTGCCATTGTAGAAGGTTGTTCCCTTGCTAGCTGCTAATTTTGTGTACAAGTTTTATTGTGCAGTACTGTACATTACTGTACCAGGACACAATCACCCCAAAATGCAGTTTTAAAGCAGTGTTAATAAAGTAAAAAGTTATTACAGTTATGTATACTGTACAGTACTGTACATTCAGTAAGTGAGAAACACCGGAGCACCTTATCTTTCGTCTTTGTTAAAGACATCTTCAGGTCATGAGATCTAGTAATCTCCCACCCCACTTCACCACAAATGAGAGAAAAGTTTAAATACAATGGGTGACCTGATATTGCATCAGGTTAGGTCAGTAACATAACAACCACATCCTGAGTTAACGAGCTGCATGACCCAGTGTCAAGGAATTGTCCGAGAAGACTTGACAACTCACCAACTGCACTGGCTAACCATTACCCCGGTACACGATACGTAAATCGATTAACATCCAGGTCCCCAAATTACTTCTGGGTAGTGAAACGGCAAATGGTGTAAAGAAACTTGCCCATAGTTTCACCCTGCCCGGAGATTGAACCCGGGTCCTCTCGCTTGCGAGGAGAGCATGCTGACCATTACACACACACACACACACACACATTCATGTAAGGTTAATTAAATTATATTATATACATTTATTGATTTTATGTCAAAATATAAATTATTTGATTTAGACTTTATTTAATCATTATAGCAGTAGGATATAAAACTTGTTTCGGCTCTTCAGGGGATCAGGAATGGAACCTATTTCTGCCCATTAGTTATTAATATCAATATGTGATCAATCACTTAGCGATGGCTTTTTGAGGTCCCTAACCCTATCATATAATCGTCATTGCCTGTATTTCAATCTTTCCCATATGCACGAGATACATGGATAAAATAGTTATGATTTAGTTGATCTTGAAAGTAATATAAATACAAGTACGAGATGTAAAATTTGTTAAAAGTTGATTAAATATATTTTAGAAATGGGAGGAAGGTACATCAGGGTTTGGTAAAAAGCAAAAGAAGGGCATCATATGAAGTACTGTACAGTAGTTTGGAAACCACTGATTTACACCTTCTGCCACAACTGATATGTATTCCTTGAATTGATCACTCCATATTTACTCTGCCCTATTTCTTGCTCTGTAGCTTCATCTTATCATATTAAATGCCTAGTGCAATTCACTTTCAATTATTTTCAATCACGTTTATACAGTAATATCTAGGTAGCCGGAATTCCTCAAACCCGGAACTCTCTGATAGCCGGAATTTAAATTTTCTCGGGGCACATTTTCTGGAAAAGTCTGAGAAAATTTACCCAATACTCGGAAAATTCCCGGGATGGGGATATTTTTCCAGGTTCGAGAGATGGTGTAATGCTCAATTTCTCAAACTTCAGAGAATATTTTGCTGTTACATGGAAAATTCCAGGGATCAGGGATTTTTTTTGGCTTTCAGAGATGAAAAAATGCATCATTCTGGAACTTCTGTTACCTGGAAAATTCCGGGGATGAGGGATTTTCTCTGGCTTTGAGAGAGTTGTCTCCTTAACCGGAAATCTCTGATTCCCGGAAGTGCTCTGCACCAATTGTTCCAGCTAACAGAGATATCACTGTAATGATTTATTAGCAAGAAGTTTTTTATTCCATATACGTATTTATAAATCTTGGTTTCTCTTACAGATTTCATGTAGAGCTTCACTTCAGCCCAGGAGTTAACTGTTGCGTTCACAAGAACTTACCACCTGGGCCAGGATTTAGACCAAAAAGCCGTAATGAACCTGTAAGTTATTGTCGTATATACTCTAAAGTATGTAACAGAGTTGGATAATTTTTTAATCCACAAGGTCACCTTGGCCCCATGGTTGATTTTGTGTCCATTTAAAGACTCAGAGAGGATAATACTGGGAGTAAACAGTTATATTAAATGAATTTTTTTTCCATCAAGAGTGACCGCAAATGACTAAAGTTGCAGCACCTGGACACCATATCATTTGATGACCCTTAATGTACTGACCGCAACTCAACACTCCTTGTACTCCTAACATATAGAAGATTTTCAATGTGAAGATTGTTTGATAATCCAATTTAACATTTGTATAGAGATGGAAATCTACCTTAGCTCTCCTACTTTGTTGTATTCATTAATGCTAATTTAGTAGTGTTGATGCATTTTTGTAAAAAATGGTTAATTGTGAAAGAGCCAACCAAACATCTTACTACAGATGATCAGTAGAATGTTGCAACTTTTGGAGAGAATTGACTACTGTATATCTTACACTGATGAGTCCATAAAGGACACTCAGCATCAGCACAGGACTTTGATCTGGACAGTGAAGTTCACAACTGTTGAGAATGATACTTCATTACAGTGATACCTTTTGGTTGTCATTCAATACCAACAAATTACTGTTTAAGAAGCTTTGGCTTGGATGGCTATTGTAACTGGCATTTGAGATTCTATTCACAGTTCAAACCATTACAAGACAGATCCATAACAATCATGATCCTTTACATATAACAGTACTTGAAGGACAACAAAACAAAGAACTATGTCTTTACTTAGACAAGAACAAAAGTGAGAGTTGGATTATACCCCTTACCATGGATGCCCTGAGCAATGGATTTTCAAGACTTTAGTACTATGAAATGGTATTGAAGTGATTCTCCTTCTTTTGTAATTACATTGATTCATTTCATCTACTTGGTATGCAAGAACTGTAGGTGTAAACTGGCTTAGGAGGTAGCTCATAGCGATGCAACTTGGGTCACCATTATGCAAAGTTATCCCTGCAGTTCACAGAACTCGTAGGCTATGATATTATAAGCAAGGTGAGAACTAAGGTGGCCTCATTAAAGTGTGACTCCATCACTCACCACTCATAATTTGGAAAGATGGAGCACATTTAATAACTCATTGGCCAGTGCTGAAGAATAATTGGTTCAAGTTGAGAAGGAAATGTACCGTCCCAGCAAAAATACCCTACATTTGACAGCTTCTCCCAGCAAACATTGAAATACAATCAGATCTCCTAAAGGTGTTCTCAAGCTACATACCCATGTCCTTGACTGTACAGGAGTTCTTCTAGATCATCAGGAATTTGGTTTCTGTCATAAGAATGGACTCTTCCTATATGATAGTAAGCCCACTTGCTTTTACTGTGACTTGTACTTGTGGCAACATGACCTTGTTGAGAAACAAGAATTAATTGCTGTCAGTTCTTATTTATTCCAATCCAAGTGAATGCAGAAATCCTTTTGGTAACTAATAGAGAACTTAAAGTAGATGTGTTTATTTAAAGCTTTTATCACTGGCTTGCTATTAACACTAGAAAAATTATAGTAGTTCACTTGCAATCAATATACCCTTTGTGTTCCTGTATTTATTGAGAGATGTTTTTCTGACTTTGCAATAATATTTAGGGGTAGAAAAACTGAAAGTAAAAAAAAGTGCATTAATACTTCTTCAGATCTTTTGAATCTATCACTTATTAACAAAGATTAAAAAATTAAAGACATGTTTGATTCTTGTATAATTTCCTGAAAGGGAATAAGTAAAAGAGGAATCCCAATCAATGTATCAAGTGACAATAACAGAACATTTTGGGATGAGAATACCCTTTTGTGGCTTTCATATTTGAGAAATCTACCATCCCTAATATTTTATGGTCTGATGTTATGAATTGAAGACAAGAAAGTGACCACTTGGCTTTCTTATCCACACAGGATTGCCCTCAGAGCATAGATTACAGTACATATACATTAACTTGACTGTCAGTGAAAGCCTTGTGTAATCTGTGGATTATATTCATTGATAGTTATAGGTATTTTAGTAAGTACAGTACAGTGTAAGAGAAGAAAAAGGGGTAACTATTTTTTTTACTTTCATGCCTCAGGAGAAATTCCACGTGTGCATACCAAGGCCGAGTATTGCACCCAGTGTGGTAAGAGTAAACAGTTTCTTTTGAGAAGCATTGGGAGCTGTTTTGGTAAATTCTGTTGACTTTAAAGCTTGTCATTGAGATTTAAATGCTGTGTTCTTTGGCAGAGTACATCAGGGTCCTTAAAGGCATTCTTGGGTATGTGGAATTTTGACTTAGGGATCCAAAAAGCTATTATATAACTGATAAATGTTATGTAGTTTTGGAAAGATTTACTGATCCAGATAGACAGGTGGTTAAGAAATTTTAGTAATTATCTTGGTTGAGCAATGTGCCAAAGTTAAGTTCTTCTTGGATCCCTTTTTGTTTTGTCGTATTGGGTAAATACAGTACACCAGTAACCCAAAAAATAAAAATGCTCGCTGTTCTTCATTACAATTGCATATATTGTACTGTATTGTCTTTCATGGGAAGTGTTTAAGAGGTAGCTCTTTGTTGCTTGCTACATGTTAATTTTCTGTTGTATATGTGGGAATGTTTACTAATCAATTTTTATCAACTAACCACTTTCCTTAACAAAGTAGTTTTCACCATCTAGAAAGAAAGACATAAATGACTTTTCTGCCATTATCTCTTCCTTTTTATCTTACATGCATTGCAATTACTGTATATCAACATAAAGCTTCTGAATTTGTCACTTCCCTGGTGTAAAGCTTTTTATTCCTTGAGTTGTTACAAAGTATCGCATGATATTATGATACCATACTCTGTACTCTGATGACAAGAACTGTATCATAGTTTAAACAGTAGGAACATTATAAATTTATTGGTGAAGAAAACATTACAGTACACTCTCAGTATTTTGCACATCCTTGGATTAGAAAGTACGAACCCTCGATTTAGCAGAAGGCATTTTCCCATTATTTTTCACTTGATTTAGTGAACTAGTTCGCTAAATCGGTATTAATTCTGTTAATAAGCTCACACTTATGGAGACACCTCAGACACTTGATACGGTAAAACCTACTTCAGCCTATGGCGAATGTACTAAATGTATAGAAATTTTATATAATGACATAAAAAACACAATATTAGACACACCCCCAGGGAGCATACACACATCCTGTATGTATATATATATATATATATATATATATATATATATATATATATATATATATATATATATATATATATATATTATTGAAACAAAAGACGAATCTATTATTATTATTAATTTTATTATTATAATTATTATCATCATATATGTCATTTGTTTTCTATGACTATTGTATCATATCCTCTTTGCCACTGATAAGCTTGTTAACTGCTTGGCCAGTTGGTAATGTCTCTATTACACACTGTTAGCAAATACTGGGCATGCAGGGGCTCTAAAATGTACTAGAATATGTGCCAGTGATGGCCAGGTCTGTCCTGAAATAGGGCTTACACTTTGTCTTGTCACAAAATTTTCTGGCAAGCTATTCCAAAATGGCTGAGTAATGTCCTTTGTGGTGCCTATAAACTTTTATCAAATCACCCCTTGCCTGTCTATAGTATAAACTAGGCAGTTGAAGGTGCAATAACTTCTGGTACAAGAAGTCCTTAAGTGCAGGTATCAGTCGGTGCCCTCTTTTGGATGTTCTCAGTCAAGTGGCAGTCTTTAACATATATTTTTTTCCAAGGAAGAGAATATGTCAGAGGAGTGTTTGTTTTTTTCCCCATAACTTTTCTTCTCAGGTCTTATTTTTTGTTTTCTTAATCCCAGATGGTCTGTGTATTCTTTCTTCTTATTCATAAGTAATTATTGTACTCTTTTCATTGAATGTTTTTATGTGCTTTTCATGTTGATGGTAAATTAATTGCGGATGGAGATTTATTCCAAAAAGAATCTTCTCAAGGTACAGTAATTCAAAGGCAAACAGATTAACCAAAGAAGGAAGTAGGTGTCACATCTTATTTGTATACAACATATAAAAGCATATTATTCACTTGGTTCCAGAATTGTAGCATTAACAGTTGTAACATTATACCCCTTCAGCCCTTATCCCCCAAAGCCGAGGCAGAGATGAAAAAGGCACGAGCCACTTCTCGCATTGACGAGGAAGAAGACCTTCAGTACGTCATGGAGGAAATAGCTGAACGCACCTTTGAGGGGGTAAAAGAAGGAAAGGAAGGTGACAAGAAGGGCAAGTTAGGTGCCAGTATGAGAGGTTGTGAAAGCAATCTGTCACACATATCCTCTTCTCCTTCTTCTTGTCTTGTGGAATCAAGTGACATATATAATGAAAACAAGGTTTTATTATCCCCACCTACAAAGGTAAGGTTTCTCTCTTGCTTGTTTAAATAATGCTGCTTACCCTGATAGTCAATGTTAACAACAAATTACAGTTAGCATGTATCATTGGTTTTTTTATGTAAGCTCTAATCAAGCACTAGTCTTGTTTGCATGGCTCCCTCACAATTCATGGAGAGTTTATCACTTTTCTTAGAAGAAGCCAAATAACATACGTGTATAAAGTTGTATGGTTTTTCATTTAATCTTAACAAAACTTCTTTCAGTTAAGAAAAATATCTGAATCAAGCCTAATTGGCGATTCACTGATCTATGAATTTTCAAATCCATGATCCGCCAGTTCACAAATTTTCAATCCTCTGTTTGCCTATCCATGATCTAGTTAGTTGTGAGACAAAATATGCTTATTTTGAGGAAATCCTTACCTTGCCCAGTGTCATGCACAGAAAAATACTCAATATTATTCTACAGATTTTTTTTTTTTTTTTTTAGAGAAATTATATCATTACTATTGTACAGTACATATTAATGTATCAGGTTTCTAGAATTCATTGTACTCTATATTACATAAGATATACTTTATAATGATGTTAAATGGTAAAAATACAGTGGTCCCTCGGTTAACGAACACCATTCGTTCCACAAAGTCGTTCGTTGACCGAAAATTTCGTTAACCGAATCCATTATTTCAATGGGATATTGGGTAATTGGTTCCAGCTCACAGAAAAGTACATATAAAGCATAAACAAAATGCAGTAAAGTAAACTTACTTTGAGGTGCATATGTAGAATGTTGCTGGTTGATGATGATGATGGGAATTAGAAGTGGGGGGTGGAGGAAGAGAAGGAAGTGGGGATGGAGGAGAAATCGCCTTTCCTTGGACCCATTTTTTATGCAATAATTTCACCAATAAAATTTTAAGTTCTCTAGTTTTAATTAAAGATTATTTTATTTAAATCAGCACTGCACTGTGCTATATATTATCAATATGTTAACTAAATTTCAGAGTGACCAATAATTTTAATGTAAAAACGTAAAAATACTCTGTATTCAAGAGAGCGACAAACACGATGTTTCCTCCACTGTAAACAAAATTAAACTGACGCTTTGGCGGGTGAGTCAAGCACCTGATGGGTGCACAAAAAAATAGTTCCCTGTATTGCATATATTATCAATGTGTTAACTAAATTTTAAAATTACTAATAATTTTAATATAAAAAATGCAAAAATATTAAAGAGCACAACTTTCTTGATATTTACTCCACTGGAAACGAATGTAACATAGAACAGATTACTGAATTGGCAGACTAGCCCATCAGCTGATGCTCACAACAAAACGTGTTTGTCGTAAGGATTTCGTTAATCGAAGTTTTGTTCGTTAACTGAATTGAAGATCCTTATGGGAGCTAATTCGTTAACTGAAATTTCGTTAATTGAACCGTTCGTTAATCGAACCGTTCGTTAATCTTGAATCTTCAGTACACATATCAGGTTGCCTTACCTTAATGTTATCCATGAAGAAGTTGCTTTGATGGTGATGGTCAACACTAATGCCATTCACCTAATTTTTACTCAAAATGTGATCTTTTTTAATTTATTTTATATATTTTTTTCATTTATATTAATTACAGGTAACCCCCGAGATATGATGGGATTACGTTCCTGAAAAACCCATCGCTAGGTGAAATATCATAGATAGCGAACATTATAACATGGGGTTCAATGGGATACATTTCTAGCCAGTCCCCAAACACACATGTATCACCGACAGAAATTTTCTCTAATACTACTATCAGTACAAAACAAGCAAATAACACTGAACAAAGCAGCTTCACCCAAGCCTTTTCAGGTCTTCAACTATAACCTTTATTCCTCTTTCCGTCCTGAGGGAGGTGTACGTGCTTACTGCAACACACGTACACCTATAGCTTTACTCACGGATCTTGAATCTTCTCATTATAATGTTATCTGGCTCAAAATATCTCTACCAATTATGACTATTTTTCATTGTTTCCTACTGTATACTGTTCTCCCAACTCTATCAACTATTTGGAACCCTTTGACTATCTCATTTCTTTCCATGAGTCATTGCTCTCCACACACCCCAACACCTAGATCCTCTACCTCGGGGATTTCAGTGAACAGTCCCAGATTCTTCCACATTGAACATCCAGCCAGACGACCAGAGAGGTAGAATCATCTGACGATCTGGTAACAGTGTGTGTGAGCAGGGATGGGAGGGTTTGAGGAGGGTGAGGGGGAAAGATAGGGAGTTGTTGAGTTGTGTGTTGCATAATATAATCATATTTTATTTTATACATTACAAAGTAATGGAAGTAGAAGGGATAATTAAATTTAGGAATATGTTTTTTCCAGTAGTATTACAATGTTTGATTTTTTGCACTGTAAATGGTCATTTTTAATTTAAAGTTGGAGGTCAGAGAAACATGCGATCTTCTCGCACCAATTCTTAGTAAGAATAGCATGGGAAACCAGGTGCCAGTCAATGGTTAATGTTGACAAAATATATAGTTATAATACACATTCTTATTACAGTAGAACGTCGATATAACACGAGATATGTTCCAAGACAGGTCGCTTTAAGCCGAATTCGCTCTAAATCAAAGTGTTGTTTCAACGGAATAATTTAGTTTGGTACTTGATAGAAACACACAATACTAAAAAGACTGAGAGTCTACCCAGGTGCACCTCAGCCCATCTCCTAGAATAAACAAAACATTGCTTTTTGTAATATTATGTTAAAACAAACACTCATAAATCAACACTGCCAAAATTATGGGACGTGAAATGGTCTGTGTACTAGCGATCAGCTGATGTGAGAGGGTGGTCATGCTGGTGCCACTCACCACCTCTCAACTTATTTTTTCATTACTTTATGTTAGATAAAATAGATTTTCACTCAACTTTAGTTAGGCAATTCATCCTCTGAAGATGCAGAGCCCAACTCGACCAGTTCATCATCCATATCACTGTCTAGTGCTGTGGCTGTGGACGCGGAAAACACCATTTCCACGCTGCAGTGCTTCCAGTACCTTGTTTTTCTGCTCCAGTGTAATTTCTTGCCTTGATTTCTTGGTCTTTGGGGTAGTTAATGATGTAGTAGCTGGCCTCTTGTACATAGTGGCGATGGTTGATGCAAGTGGTAGAAGGAGATAGTGTCACACAATATGTATGTTCACTAGAGCGTCAGTGCGAGAACTGAGGATGCGTGAGGGTGTGGGAGGGTGGCGGGCAGCCATGTAGTGTGCCCAGAGACGCGTCTGGTGGGAAACATTAGGCGCCAAATTGACTCGTGCAAAGTAGGAAAGATTCGCTTTAAATTAAAACATTGTCCTTAATTGTGGGTGTCGCTTTAAATCAATAATCTTGAATAAAATCACTTTAAATCGACGTTCTACTGTATAAACTTACTGTATTTTTAGAGGATAGAAAAATTGCAATAAAAAAAGTATGGGAAGTTGTATTATTACGTGAATTGAAACAAGTAGTGATTGTTATCATAATGAAAAATAAAATAGTCACTTATTATTAATGAGAAAATAAAGTATACAAATTTTTTTTACATTTTGTCACTCAGAAGTATCAGAGACGACCTAGTGAAAGCGAAGCTCATGAGAGGTGGCTAGATTTTTGCTTTCACAAAGGCTGCGATATGAGGTTGGACTTGGGCATCAGAAATCATCGACAGAGGAACACCGTGCCAGCAGACTTGTCTTGGTTTGTCGGCATTAGGCACTGGACTTCTGGAAAAGGCCTGTTTTCACTGACGTAAATTCTTCACTTTAGTATCCTGTCCACCCACCTTCTTTGTTGATAACAGCATTACGCACCTACACGTCATTGGCAACTACTTGTCAGTATCTTTCGTAGCACCATACCACTAGAATCACCATATTAAAACCATAAGAGTAAAGAGGTCATTTTGGTTTACCCGGTGCGAGGCTAGGTCGAAAAGTGACTTAGGACAGCATATTTTTTTCGGGAATTATCCCACCCGGGCACAGGTCGAACGACCCACAACGGGGCCTAGGGGGCAAAAAAATAAGAATAGAAAGAAATTAAAAATAGAAAAGAAAAAGGTTATATTAATCTACACCACGAAGCTTTTTAAAGTAAGACATTGTATGAGTATGGAAGCACAGAAGAAGGCAGAGCATTCCACAGTTTGGCTGTGTGAGGAGAGAAGGAGGTACCATAATGGGTTATTTTAGTTATTTAGAGTTTGGATAAATCTGGTCACCATCACATGTCCCCTTCAAGGCTAAGGGGACCCTTGTAGGTGGAGTGGAGACGTCACTCTGACTCCCACACAGCCTCTGGGGAATTTCATGCTGTTTAACAGTGTCAAGTTTCACTTCAGAGACACCTTTGTCTTGGATGCCTTAACCTTCCCAGACATTTTTAAAGTTATGCTGCTCATTTCACTGTAACAAAAACAGTGCAAAAGCAGTTGTCATAAAAACAGGGCACGATGATAAAAAAACAGTGATAGTGGCCGACACTGCTCACATTTAAATAAAAAACAGAGTCGACACACCTTACAGTCACAAAAACACAGAAAATATCACTTCACAGTCACCATAACACAGTTCAATAATCGTGGAGCCATGCGATGGCAGGTTTATGATTGACAAAGAACCAGACACAGGGATTTAGTGTGCGGGCTGGCTGTGTGGTGGCGTAGGTAGGCTGTCAAGTGAAGGTAGAGATGCATGGTGCATATGGTTAAATATTGTTTCCTTATAAAATTTCACTGACTTGACATAGAAAAATATAACTTACATTGCTGGAACCCTTGCAAGACGTCGATTAATTCGAGTATAAACAACTCATAGTTTGCACTAAAGAAAAAAAAATCCGACCAATGGATATTGTTAAGCATGTTGTTTTGATCGTATATAGCAAGATGGTTTTAATTTACAACCACCATTAAAGTCAAATACTGCTTCTCGGGATATCGTATCTTGGGGATTACCTGTACACTGTATTAGGTTTATCATGAAATTTGTAAAATTAGTTTTTGTATGCACTGTACTGTATCAAAGCTAACACAAATCGTTTATTTTAGGTGCCATTAATATTTATAAGGACATATCTATGTAGTGATATCCCTGTTAGCCAGAACAATTGGTGCAGAGCACCTCCAGGGATGAGAGATTTCCGGGTAACCAGACAACATTCTCAGACCCGGAAAGATCCCTTATCCCCGGATTTTTTTTCGGTTACTGAGGAAAGTTTCCGAGAATCTAAAGAATGTACCTTGCAAAACACAGACACTAGCCCACATCCCCAGAATGTTTCTGGGTGCTGAGAAAAGTTTTCCGAGAGTCTAAACAACCCGAATCTGTAGAAGCAGTTTTAAGTAAGTAAGAAACTCCATTTCTACTAGGATAATCCTGAATAGTTTATCTAAAAGTTTGGTTTAATCGATATATTTAAAAAATACTAATTATCTATGATACGGGCGTGCGAGGCGCCTCATTAATGAAGCTTTGTTCAGAGATGGCCCTACTGGGTCCCCCCAATGATTGGTCTCAAGTTGGTCAAGTTGCCAGAAGTTGGTCATGATGATATAAAAAATTCAGGGAGATGGTCAAGAAAGGACACACACACACACACACACTGGTAGCAAGAGGTAACACAGTGGATCGTACAATATTTTGAAAGGTTGTGATGATGCCAGATGTAGGAATGTAAGAAATAGGTTAATTGAAGAAGAGAAAATCCTTCAGAAGCAGCATGAAGTAATTGTGATGATGTTAGACATAGCCCGTACACTTGCTAGACAAGGTTTATCATTTCGGAATGAAAATGGCTCTAATTTTGAACAGATTGTTCAATTTCTTGGTAGGCATAATTCTACAATGAAAGCTTAGTTTCCTGAGAGAGATACCAGAGCATATCACACTATTTATATGAGCAGGAATTGTCAAGAAGAATGTGTATCACTGCTCGGTGAAAGTGCTCAGGACGAAGTGTTAGACAGATGAATTTGATACCAAGCAGCTAGGCCACCCACTCGGTGATGCTTTGGAGCATAATGCAATCTCTCGAAACTCCCTGAAAATTTATTCCCAGGCCCACAACGGAGAGATTTTCTCAAGCCTTCTTAGAATTTTCTCAGAAAATGCACTTGAATTTCCACCTCGGAAACTTGTTCACAGATGCGGAATTGAGAGAATTTTTCCGGAAATTTTTTGAACCAATTTTAATTCCAGGTATTGGGAATTCCGGCTCATGGAGATATTACTGCATATTTGCTCTTTTACCATTACGTACAGTAATATCTCCGTTAGCTGGAATTCCTCAAACCCGGAAAATCTGAGAAAATGGCGAGAAAATCACTCCAAACCTTTCTGCCAGGGCCTGGGTACAAGGGTTCCCAGCGTTATGAAAGACTGATCATGTTTAGCTGCATCCTTACATGGTTGGTGTGTGGGTGGGAAGACCAACTGCTTGTCCAACGCTGGATTTTTCTGCTCTGGGTCTTTTGATAATTAACACAGTAATAAATCAATGTAATTCTGAGCTGAGCTAATGAGGCAAAGGGTGGGGTGACAGAGTCAGGTGGTGAGGTGACATGCCAAGACACATACACATCACACACATTAACAGCACTACTAAACCATTGTCTTATAACATTTTACTTTATAATTTTATTTTAAAATTAATAGATACATGATGGCTTGATTTGCTACTTTTGCACTTAGATAACTGATCAATGAATAAATCAGGGCATATGGAGATGCATTATACACTAGTGATGTCACGAAGCTTCACAACTGCAACCACAACTGCTGAGCAACTGCATAAGTTATCACAACCTGTACTCAAATGTACTAAGTTAATTATTAAAATTTTTATGTCTAGTGCAAGCTATGGGATGTGTTTACTAAAATGAATCGTTATCTTGCAAGAATTCCACCAATGCAAGTTATATTCTGTTAATTCAGTGACATTTTATAAGAAAAAAACTTTAACTCTCTGCCTTTTATAATCCTTGAGTCCCTGAGTCCCCTCCCGGCTGTCAACACCCCACCTCCCCCTCCCCTTTCCTCCCACTAATCTCCCACAGCTCCAAGGGAGTGGAAAATACCAGTCTTTGCTGTAACACACAGCTTCATTCATGCCCATATCGTAAAGATTTTTAATTTTTAAATACAGTATATTTATTTATTCAAACTTTTAGATAAACTATTCTGGATTATTTTAGTAAAGAAATAAAGTTTCTAACTTAACTGGAACTGCATTTACGGGCTCTGGTAGTTTAGACTCAAGGAAAACATCCCCAGCACCCAGAAACATTCTGGGGAAGTGGGATAGTGTCCGCCTGTGCAAGATGTCTAGTTTAGACACTCGGAAACTTTTCCCAGTAACTGGAAAATATTTCGGGGATAAGGAATTTTTCCGGGTTTGATAAAGTCGTCTGGTTAGCCGGAAATCTCTCATCCCTGGAAGTGCTCTGCACCAATTGTTCCAGCTAACTGGGATATCACTATAATTGCTAACTTCTCATTTGCAGGTGGTGCCTGAGAAGTATGCTGAATTTCCAGATGGTCTAATGCAGCCTGGAGGTATGAAGTAAAAAGTACATGTAGGAATACCAAATTAATTTAAAAAAAAAAAATTACATTGATAACACTGATACATTCTTAAAAAAGGTTCCTTAACTATAAGGTTAATCCTGTTTATTTAATTACTGAATAATTTGGCAGCAAAATTTCTTCAGAATTTGGTTTAAGGTAATTTTATAAATTTGGAAATGTAGCAACACCTCCTAAGATGGCCTTGAAAATTTTAATTTTCTCTAATTATACTGCAAAAATAAGGACACACATACACACACTCACTGAAGGAGATTATGCTTGAGTTATTGGAGCATGGAGTCATCATATATTGTACATGGCTGATTATACTCTACAGGGCGGGAGGGGGGGGCCCTATATCGGTTGAGAATACGAAAAAGAATACATTGAATGGAATGTATCTATTTCAGTATATTGGGATGAGCCACTTAACAATAAATGCAGACTCTCCCTTTTCATCAGAAAATTCCAAAACTTTTTCTTTAATGCTGAACAGTATTGTACTCAGGCATTTTTGTATAGTAAAAAGTAATTACTATTGACCTCAGAATATCTCGTAGTATCAAGTTCACGGGGCCTCAAAATGCCCGTGACATTGGTGAGACTTCAAAAATTTTCTGGGGTTACAACGCCCCCCGAAAACCCCCCAGCTGGGTGGGCTCGCTGTGTTTGCCATGTTCCCCCACCCAGAATTAGTTACCTTCTTCATTACCAAAAAGCCAAACTAGGCTTACTCAGTGAATTTCATGACATATAGGTGTAGTCAATGTAGCACATGAAGCTGCTGTAGATCCAGAAGTTGAGTAGCAAAGGTCTCAGCATTGGAATTAAAATCATGAAAAAGATTATCCCAGTTTGTATTGATCAATCTCTTTACTGTGGTATGGGCAACTTGAGTACCATACACTCTGTTCTTCCATTTAATAACACTGAGGTGAGTTGAAATTACAGCATTTACCAGATGGTGTTGGTTTGTAACTGAGCCAAATAAGTTTAATTAATTTATTCTGTTTGCTGCTCATCCTTTACTAGCCAGTTGACCTGGTCATGTGTTGGTACAGGAGGAAACCTATGATGTTCAGTAGGGTCACACTGCATAACATTTTTCTAACATACGACTCAGGCATGAATTGAACCATGATTCCAGTGGTGAGAGGCAAATTCACTATTGTTGTACCAATGACACCCTTCATAAATGGCTATGGTTATGATAAAAGAATTTGAACAAATTATCGGAATTCAGTTAGTTCCAACCACCAAGGTGAAGGGATTTGCATGTTCAACTCTTAGGTTTTGTGTGTTGGCTGACCCTGGGTTAGCTAGAATATTTCAGTCCCTCTTTTTTTTCATACTATGATGCTCAGTAGTTTGCCAGTTGTTGATATCCTGGTGTTTAATAATGACTGCCCACCAAAAGGTTGTTCCAGAATTGACAGGTGCTTCCAGTAGTTTACACATTTATTGCTGGGTTCAGTATAGAGTACAGTATACTGTATAAGAGCTGTATGTAAAAATGAAATACTTTGGTCTTCATTATTTGTGCTTTACAATATATTTGCATATTGCAGGTATTGATATCAATGATGCAGATGTGGTGATAGCAGTAAAGTCAGAACCAATTCCTATTACTGCAAGGTTAGTAAATAAAATTTTATGCCTTTATATACTCTAACTTTATATCCACAAAGCATGAGTACTTTCTGTATATACTATATATCCATTATGTTGGACTTTAATGTTCATGTTTATTATGATTGTTGCATACTTTATAGATTTATAATTATTAGTTACATATTGCTGTGACTGTAACTCTAGTAAATGAAAACTTAGTCATAAAAATAATTTAAAGTTCATTTAATGTCTTCTTACTGGGGTTTAAGATTTTGTTAGCTGTTCATGTTTTAATGTGATAAAATATGTCATCATTCTTTGGAGGTTGATCAACTTCACTGAGGGCATACCAGCAATTAACAAGATTAAAAAAAAAGTACAGTCATTGGATCCTTTATCTGGTATCCCGGTATTCAGAACTCTTCAAAACCCGGCTTTGTTCTGGAACTAAATTCAGTATTTAAAATGAGCGCCCAAAGTAATTTCCGAGCCGAGCTGCAATATTTCCAACCATTCCACACGTGGGAGATATGTTATGGTTATTTTTCAATTTGTAATATACAGGGGGGCCCCCTAAATTCACTGGGTTAGGTTCTCAAAATGGCCGCGAATAACATTTGTGGCCGGGGGTGTACATTTTTACTTGTGTACAAGGAAATATATACAGGTACTGTATAGTCTGGTTTTATGCGGATATTTTTTACGCAGAAGGCCATTTTCGCGGCACCTGTCAGAAGAGATAATTATTATTTACACGGTAAATTCCATCATGTACGCGGCAAGCAGCATAGCGAGGTGCTGGGTGCTGACTTCAGTTCTGACATCAGACTCGCGCTGGTGACGTCACAGATTGTGATTGGGCCACTAACATAAGTGTTAAAAAACCTAATATTATTGATATTTGTCTTATACCTGTATATTAATTGTGTGTGCATACCATCATAAATTAAGATGTTATTTTTACTACAGTGTACAGTATTTTGTCAGCTATAGCCAAAAAAAGGTGGGTCTGGCAGTAGGCCCAGTCCCTATTTCAATTAATCCCATAGGTTCTGCTATTTTATTTACACGTTTCGCTCTATATGCGGACGTCCATGGGTTTAATTAACCGCGTAAAACCAGACTATGCTATTACCTTTATTTGTTTGTCCTTAGGCCAATTATTTCCTTTACCTGTATTGTTTTATGTGTGTGTGTAGGCACACACACACACACACACAAAACACATACAAATAAATAATAATTGGAAAATCCTCTCACAAATAATCAGAATTGTTTTTATTAAAAATGTGACAGTGTACCCTCAAGTAGACTGTCACATTTTTAATAAATAAATAAATATATATATATATATATATATATATATATATATATATATATATATATATATATATATATATATATATATATATATATATACTGTACTTATGTACTCTTTGCATAGTTTTGTCCACTGACCCCTCATGCCCCCAGTTTAAGAACCAATGATTTAGATGGTAAAGAAGGCTGAGTATTAGATACTGTTGTCCCCAGGTCACACTCTGATTGTGGACTGGTGCCTGCAGGAACTCGACGCTCATATCCAATCACACGGTACATGAATGCTTGCATTTATTTATGATTCCTGAAGCCTTGGAATGAATCCAACACCTATGACTTTATCAACCTGTCATTGATCATACCTAAACTATTGTTTCAGTGCAACTATTTCATTTATTCATACACTTTTTGCTGACAAATGCAGTAGAACACATACCGTACTGTACAGTACTGCAATTGTTAAGCTGGTTTAGAGGTAACAGAATGATGGTTGATATGCTTTACCCGTAACTTATTTTTCCTTATGCATATCAGTCTACCCTCTCAAGCATGAAAGCTTTTTTATTTACTTTTTTACACTTATATATTTATTTACAGTATTCATTTTTAAGAAAAAAAAACAGAGAGATGTTTCATATGTAGTTATGACAGAAGGCAAAGCATGAACTCTGCTGGCTTCCTTGTTGGGTGCATGTATCACTTTACATTTCACCTTGCACAGAATACAAGGGATGGCCAATAAACATGCCCCTGTGTGGCACAAATCTTAAATCTATAGTTATTGCACACCACTTATTAAATATTAATTTATAAAGGTAATAACAGGGTAAACATTTATAAATCAAGAAACTAAAGCCACTAGGTACTGAAATAATTCCTCTAACTTTTCGTCATACTGTTACAGGTATCTTGTTTTTCATAAAAAAAATTTCTTTAACATAACTCCATTGATGTTTCATATGTTTATACCTAGCTTCTTCTCTGTTACTTCTAGTTATCATAACTCAATGAAACTGTTTTGTTGGTATCAGCATAAGATTGTACCTCACTTTTTGACAATGAAATGTACCTCTGTTGAAGTATAGGTAAATATAAATTACAAAGTACTGTATAAATAATAGGATTACACTGTAGTGTTTCAGAAAAAATAATCAAATGTGGAGAATTAATAGGCATTTGCAGTCTCTATTTATAGTAAAGTAAGCTTTTGTTTTGCTTGATGACTAATTACAAGATATTCAGGAAGGGTGAGCACCAGTTACCAAGATGTTCTGTTTTAATATATTTTTATCAGGATTAGTAGCAGTCTTGTTTGAATATGAGTGGTCAGTAAAGTACATAACAGTTCAGTGTAACCATTGTCCATAACAATGAGTGATGCTGACCACAGGGGTATTTTATGAAATGTATTTTGTAGCTTATGAGCCAGGAACTGCACAGTATATCTAAACTGATCCTTCAAAACTTATACTGTACTGTATATTGAGTGTCCTATATAATAAGTCACAAGGGAAATGTCCATAGTATGAGTAACAATTATTGAATTGTTGATTATAGATCCTGTTGCATACAACCAACCTCAGTTTACATAAAATAAAAACTCTCACACTACAGGGCAGGATTTACCATGTAAATCAACTCAGTGATTCAGAAGTATAAACTGGATTTTGAGCTGGAAAAGGACAGTCAATGTCTCCCTGATTAGCTCTCATGATTATCTTAGACATTTTCTTTGACCTACTTTACCCTTCATAATTCTAGGGGTCGGGAAATGTGTGAAACATTCCTAAAGTTAAATCTTACCTGTAGGACTCAAACTATCTCTCATACCCTCTATAGATTTGTGATATGGCAACTCGCCATTAGAATAACTTCAGTAACTTGGGCTATGTGCAGTTTGCCTCCCTTGCACAAAAAATTAAATTGAGCGATTGCACCTCTCATGTGCGCTGGATACTTTTTACTAAGGTTCTGAGCAAAGAGGATAAGTTAGTCCTGCTCTCAAACCATCATCAGGAATCCAATAGAGATATCAACGAGGAAATTTTTTACTTCCATCTACCAAAAACTCCCCTGCATGGATTGTGACAATCTTTATTATAACATATCAATATTTTAATGTAGACTCTGTGGCATTCAATGTGTTGGGACCTCAGCATTCACTGAATATGGCCCCCAGCTAATACATAAGATATTTCATACTTCTCTTTATTTTTAAACTGTCGATATAAAAGTATTTTCCTGTAAACGAAAGAGAGGGTTTTCAAATGTCAGTTTATAAATAAAAACTGTTGTCTCTTTCCCAATGGAATATAGTGATCAGTTACATGTGTGTCTTTCATGAGGTTGCAGTATCAACTCTTCCACCTGTTTTCAAAGTAATTTCAAGCAACTTGGTACAAGTATAGTAGCACCTAGTTATTGGTTGAGGCATTTCAAAATCTTTTCACCTTTTACTTTTATCCTCTTCGCCACTGCTAGGCTCGTTAGTCACTGGGGCAGTTGGTCACGTCTCTGATACTCACTGTTGGCAAGTGCAGTATAGTCTTCATTTACGCGGTCAATTGAACCCGTGGAGGTCCGCGTAAAACGAGAAACGCGTAAACGAAATAACAGAACATATGGGATTAATTGAAATAGAGACTGTGCCGACCCCAAACTACACTTTTTCCGACACAATACGTACGTTGTAGTAAAAATAACATCTTAATTTTATGATGGTATGCACACACAATTAATATTTAAGAGAAATATCAGTAATATTAGATTTTTTAACACTTACGTTAGCAGAAAAGATGGCTGGGCACACAGGGATGGGGGGTTGGTTCCGAGGCAGAGGGCAGATTATTGGCCCTCACCCGTATCACTATCCACCACAGAGGCTTGCAGGGCCTCTTTGTCAAACCCCTCAAATTCCATATCCTCACTATCACTGACTTGGGCTGGCTGTGGTGGGTGTTGGGTGAAGAACTCGGTAATGTTTTGTTGACTGGGCGACCTTGTGCGCACCCTGCCCGCGCTGCTTCCTGCGTAAATGACGGAATGAACCGTGTAAATAAAAATTGTCGGTCTGGCAAGGTGCCGCGTAAATGACCAAACACGTAAACCAAATCCGCGTAAATCGAGACTATACTGTACTGGGCATGCACTGGAACCCGAATGTATCTGAACCTGCTCCAATGTTGGTCAAGCCTGGTCTTGAAAGAGCTCACACTTGGTGCCATCACAACACTCTCTGGCAGATTGTTCCAATAGTTTACAATTCTCACTCCAAAAAAGTTTGCCCATACAGTTTTCTTGACTTGTTAGTGTGTGTGTGTGTCTAAGATAACTTTGCAATGATGAGTCCATCTGCCCTAAAACTAGGGGTACACATGTTCAATACCATAGTCAAGTTCAACATTTTTCCTCTAGATGTAATTTAGATGTTGCACATCTTTTGTAAACATATTAGGTTGGACCTCGCTAATCCATGAAGCTTGGGACCAGACTGGTTCCGGATCAGCAAAATTTCCCAACCATCGAAGACGAGGTTAAAAAAAGGGCAAAATAATGCATAAAATGTACTATTACTGGTACCAATACAACTTACATCAGCTTACATCTAGCCCAGGCTTACTGGACCTCTTGATGACAAAGTGTTAGTGCTATGGGACATATATGTAAGAAACTAAACAAGGAATGTATTTGAAATACTCTGAAACATTCGATGTCATAATATCCGGACAACTGGGGTTAATTATACAGTACAGACTTTTTCCAGGGAAAAAGCCATAATTTTGAGCAACATATTACTGTACTCACTTTGTACTCAAATGTACTAAGCTAAAGGACTAAAATCTGTATCTCGTGCAAACTGTGAGATGCTTATACTCAAATTAATCACTATCATGCAAGGATTCCAACAAAGCAAGTTATATTCTTCTAAGTCAAGTCAGTGACATTTTAAAAGAGAAAAACTTTAAGCCTAAAACCACCTTCACCCTTTAAAACCTTTATTGCCTTCTGGCTGGGAGGAGGGGGAGCAGGAGGTGAGGTGTTGACAGCCAGGGGGGGGGGGGAGATTACCAAGTGCGAAGTTATCAGTGGAGGACGAAGGGTCAGGGACTCTGGCTTATACAATAGAGGGAGTTTAAGTTTTTCATTTATAAATTGCCACTGACTTGACTTAGCAAAATATAACTTGCATTGCTGAAGTTCTTGCAAGATAGCGATTAATTTTAGTACTGTATAAACATCCCATGCTTTTTTTTTTTCCATGGGTGTTAGCCCACCCAAGCACATGTAATTTTATAATGACTCACATCAAGGCCTGGGAGGGGGGGGGGGAGAATATAATAAAATAGTTATTATAATAATAATAACGATAATAAAATTAATAAATATAAATAACAATTATAATAAAAGAATATATTTATAATACTAATAAAAATTATAAACTAATAATAATAATGATAATAATAATAATAATAATAATAATAATAATAATAATAATAATAATAATAATAATAATAATAATGAGCCATAAATTCAAAGAAAAAAATATATAAAAAGTGAGAAATGATATATGTATGTTGTGTTGTCAAAGTAAGAGAAACAATTGAGACCCTGCAATTGTGTGTAAATGAGGCACAAAGTCAGATCAGCAACCTGGGACTTGGTCACAATATTCGTGATGCCATATGGCAGCAGGGTCTACCATTAGACAACACATTATGCTTCCAATATCTTCCCAGGCGGTAGTACCTCCCTGTTTGATAGCTGCCTACTACCTAGACATAAAAATTTTAGTAATTAACTTGGTACATTTGAGAACAGGTTATGATAATTGTAATAATTTTTTCATAACTTTTAAAGCATTACTGTTGACTTTTAGTAGTTGTGGAATATATCCTAATTTTCCCCATAACACTAAGTATTCACTATATGCGTCCTGAACCATCGAAGCTGCCAGGCTATCAGGTCCTGGATTAGCGGGTTCCAACCTGTATATATGCATTGTTGTGGCTTTTTTAATTTGTGTACAGCATTTTGTTTTTAGAAATATTGCATCATTTTGTACAACTGTTGTATTTTATTGAAGGGTGTTCTTTGCAAAAAGTGATCTGCTTTTAAAATTTTTGATAGTTCTTAGCCCTTTGATGCATTTTTAGTGTAGCAATGATCTTTTACAACTTCTTAATGTGGACTTTTTTCTCAAAATAATGACTTACTAATGTGGATTATTTTTTAATATCTAATCCTAATTCATTGTATGTTTGCTAGGTGCTCAG